GTCGGCGTCGTGTCGGGGCGATTCCGCGAATTCACGATACTGCGCCGATGATCGAACGAGGCGCGTTGCTCGTGCGTCGTGCACAGCGACCGGCACGAAGGTCGCTGCCGGTGCAACACACGATGCAATTACACGAATCATCCGGGGCAGTCGGCCAATAAAACCGAGCGCTATCCGGCGATCTCGCGCGTATGAAGAGTTCCCTAACCTTTCCCTTGCCTTCACGGCTTTCAATCGGAAGCTCCGCGGCGAGAATCAAGTAAAAGTACCAATGTCACGTATCTAACTCTGAACTTTTGATCTGCTCTGTAAATACGCATATTTAAACTTTTTCAAAATAAAATATAATAAAATATAAAATTAAATTAAAAAAAAATATATATATATACATGTATTTTATGTTGAAAGTTTAAAGATTCGTACTTAAAGTCTAAGGTAATAATAAGAATGTCCAGTGTTAAGTACCTGTTCAGAAATTGATACTTTTATCTTACTCAAATGTCTGTCGTTGCGGCGAAATTCCGAAACCAGAGCCAAGCAGATGCTTTAACACACTGACTGTCAAATAATCTCGTAGTTGCCAAGCGAAATGAGTTCTTTGCTCTATGCGAGTTAACTTACTTAGGCCTCTATAGGCTTAATATTCGTTATTTGAAATTTGTCTCTAGATACTCTGATACTTAGATTTAAATTTAGAATTAAATGTGAATGTTTCAATTAAATCACAACTGCAAATATAATGTCACGTGTATCGTATACAGCTCAGATCTAATTCTAAATTCCGATCTGAGTGTCTTACGTGAGATAAGATTCGAAGAATAGCTATTAGTATGGACTATTTTCCTTTTTATGGGAACACATTTTTATGAGTTTTGTCAAAGAATAAATATTATAAATGGATAATAAAAATATGCTGATTTTCAGATTATTAGAACATTAGAAATAAAGTTTCCAAGCATCACTGTAGCAATCAATGTGTTAAGCGGCAAAGAAGATTTCCTGAAGGAGAGTGAGAGAACAATCTCACAGACATATTTTATTTTCATTGATAATATGTGGATTCTGCACGTCCGCGTATAAGCAAAATCTGCAAATGACGCAAATGAGAAACCACAACTTTTAAAGACATACTTATTTTCTACAGTGTGAGGGATAAAAACGTTGCGAAACGATTCCCGAGAGCAACAACGAGAGAGCAGATCGAGGCGCACTAATAAGCGCGCAATAGTGAAAAAGCACGCTGCCGGAGATAAGGCGTATGATAAGGAACACGAAGATCGTGCACGAGAAAGATAGGAACCAGAAGAACACCATAAATTGTGGATAGTTACAACCTACGGAAAGCGTTAGCAACTAAAAGGCGAGTCGACCCATGCGCAATAAAGGTACTCGGCGGTAAAGACGCTATCGTGTTTCAGGAGAAACTGAAAATTTGCGCGGGTATGGATTCAAAATTAAATCAGCGACTATGCAACTGGCAATTTATCGTAACAATGCGCTCGTTGCCAGTTCCGAGTGCGATATGCACTTGGGAATGGGAATACGCAGCATTAGAGTGGTAAAGCAGCGCTGTTTTTTACGGTTCAGGACACCGCAAAGCTAAATGATATGAAAACACGCGTTGTGCGGGAAAAGATACTAATTAGCAGAGTGGTAATTATCATCATAATAACAGACTTAGATGAACGATTTAGCCGGGATTCGGCGATAACCCGGTATCAAAACGTGGGAAGTGAACGTGAGGCGCTCAATGGAGATCGCTATGCGCAATAGGAGCCGCCGGAAAATGTCTTTCCATTTACTTTATAAATGTTAGATGCATGATAAGCATATTATATGTGGATAATTATAACGTACTTCGTAAGCAGGCTGCCAGCACATGAAACAATATTTTGTGTAGATCTCTGATAACGCGTTATTTAAGCATCGTATCAGTTTCAAAATTTTTTAATGAAGCTGATGTATGTATGTATGTAAAGATCGTTATGCTTACTTGCAACAGTTTATACTTTAAACTTGCATCATTGCTTTAAACAGTTTATACAATTGTTTGCAAATAAGTTTATGCATTTTTTATCAAATGAACAAAGTTGCAACGCTTCAGAGTTGTCAAAACTGAAAGCCACTGCTGACATGTACGCGTAATAATCACGACTTCATAAGGGAGAATAAAAATGTGCGCGAAATCGTTTTGTAGCCGAACATACAAAGCGCGCCAAAAGTTTGAAACGAGCCGATTCCCTTCGAAGAATATCAAACGCGGCGCAAAAGCACTGCACTATTTCCTAGAAACAAATGACTCGTAAATTTCGCGGAAGAGACGCCTCTATAGCGCGAGCCATATCGGAAGACGTCATGCTTCCCTGGCGTTGAACTCTCCAGATCGAGAGTCGCCGTGGCGGCGCAGCTGGCGTTGAAATCACCGCGGCGCACGGCGCGCGATGGATAATCGCGCGGAATTGAGTGCACTTTTGAGTGCTAGTCACTGCGTATTTACCGACGAGAAGAAGTTTACCCGCATACATCGAGAGGAGATACTTGAAAATTTATTTACAGGATATAAAGTTTATAGTTCTGCGAAATTAAATTTGTTTCTGTGACATCAAGTTTGTTTCTGCGAAATGGGGGCAACTTATTTTTCTGTGAATAAATCTTATGTCCTACAAATAAATTCTCAAGTATTTTTTCTCAGTGTACATTGAGAAAAAAATACTTATTTCACAGAAATAAACTTTATATTTTACAAATAAATTTACAAGTATATTTTCTCAGTATATTTAACAGGACATATGACGCGATACCATTCTCTCAAATCTAATTGAATCAGCGGGAGTATTTCACCGATAATCAGCGAATATTTACTGGTTTCCAGTGGAAATATTCCCACTTTACTGCTCCATCGTGTACTGATTCTGACCAGCGGAAGTAAAATTTCACTGCAAAATCTGTAGTACACAAATTCGTTAGGCGCCGTACAACATTCCACTTTCTGCGTTCATGCTGGTGGAATGAACGGCTCTTATGTACTTTGTGCACGATAATACTGTTAATGCAAATTGCATTAATAATGGTAACAGTCACTATATTATTAACTGATTCAGTGAGATTTTACTGATTTTGCAGGAGACTATACTTACAACTAAATTATTAATTATAATATCTTCAGTAAAGAATACACTGACACTATACTCTAGAAAATAAATTCTCGATAGTAATCTCACAAAAATAATAATCTCAGACGTTTCCTCTAAGATAGCGCCTAATAAGTAGTAAATTGCAAACAAGATGAGCCGAAATCCCTTTCCCTCTTTCAGCCTCGCATTCCTGTTCTATAAAAAGACACGGTCTAACCTAATCTGGACCCCGAGAATCAAGCAGGTGCCTAATTTCGGTAATTCCGGATTCGTAGTTCGGGAGGTCGACGTACCGGCGCAACGTGGACGACTAACGGACGTACCAGCATAAGTATTCGAGGCACGTAGATCGGATACACGAAAATTCGGCGGCGCTTATCTTGGCAACACAACACGGTCTCACCGCTCAAAAGAGAACACTTCTCTCGCGCACCTTTACAATTCCGTACAGCTTAATTAGGTTGTAGACAAAGACGAAAAAATTATTGACAGACGTTACGTAAATTACAAGCGAAGCTCGGTGCTGTGAACGACCGTGTATTGCGGCATCGAAGTCTCTCTTACGGGCGTCCATTTTCTCGCGTTCAACTAAGAATAATCTCTTCGGCCTTGAAGGGGCTATTCCGTGCGCGGCCGGCGTTGAGCTCTTTCTCCCTCTCCCTCCCTTTCTCTCTCCTTTTCTCATTCGTTACGCGAGCGCAAGGTTAATCCGTGTGCGCGAGGCAAATCAACGTCGCGAACGAGACCGAGAATCGAGCCATGCGTACGCGTCACAGACCGCTTAAGAGAAATGAGTTTCGTTTTCGCGCCCTTAGTCGCTGCACAGCCTGTGCGGTATGCATACTCCTACACACACACACACAACAAACACATACTCTTCTCGGGTTTTAAAGAAAGCGTACCTTTCGCGGCCATTAGTACGCAACAATAACCCTTTGAAGCGCCGTGGCTACGACAAACGGCTATTTTATACGCTTATGTAAAATACCCTCAGCGAGAGAATCGGCCGGCGGCGAGTCTCTCCCGCGGAATATAAATAAGCCGAAAGAAGATGATGATGATGATGGTAAAATTCGAACGCGTCGTGTTTCGTCGCACATTAAAACAGATTCCGCATCGAGGCGTGGGTGTCCTCCGAGGTGAGAATTCCACCTAGGCGGAGGTGCAGGAAGATTAATCATCTCATTCTCGAGAGACCTTCTCCTCTCTCGGGGCGTAGCTCGTGCGTTCTTGTAACGGCCGCGTACCTATTACCACGCGATTGCTCAACGACTACGGCCCTGACTTTGAACTAAGCGCTCTCCTCTCTCTCCTTCTCTCTGTCTCTCTCAGCGTGGGAATGGCGGCCACGAGAGAGAAGTGCCGCCGACAATCGGCGGAGAAACTATTTCGTGCGTGCGATTCACGCGTCCACGTCATCGCTCAAACGCAAGCGAGTCCTTTGACCCCGAAATATCTCGAGGAAGAAAGAAGCAGATAACGTCTACTTTCTTTCTCTCTCTTTCTCTGGCGGAAGTTGTAACATATTTCCATCGTTCCTGCGGAACTACTGCACTCAAGATATCCTACGGAACGTATCGATACACCGAGCAGCGGGCGCTGCGAGTTGTCGAGGCACCGCCGAGGAGGAACTCCGCTCCGCGAACGCTCGATGCCGCTCCCGCGAGTCGCTCTCTCTCACTATATTCCCTACACGCGGGATCGTTAAGCGATCCTCCTCCATCCGCAGCCGACGTCTGGTCATTGACACTTTTTACCACGCGCCGAGCGCCTCGTCGGCCGTGCCCCGCTGTTTGCTTGCTTGCCTGCTTCCGTATATACGCGACACTTCCCGCACCAGACTTAGCACCAGAAGATCGCACGTACCTTGACCGCCTGCTGCTATCCACTGATACCGCAAGATCCCGGATTCCTAGATTCACCCTCGGTCTCCTTAATCACTCGATAGAGCTCCAATCTCACTGGGTACCGGTTAGTCTGTTTTGTTTTCTACTTGTTTTGCCGAAGCACGTCGGGCGAAAAGAGTGCCTTGTTTCTCTCTTTCTCTCTCTCTCTCTTTCTCTCTCTCTCTCTCTCTCTCTCTCTTTCTCTCTCTCTTGAACGAGGGGACGATGTGCGTGATGAGAGAGACCGAGCAATCTCTCCGGCGGGATTTCGACACCAGGTCGCTGATATCACACACGCGACCGTGAACACTGTTCCGTTCGGCCTTGACGTAAGGAGAGAAAAAAGACGCTCCTGTTGGCTGGACTGTCGGCACGGCTCTGTCTTCCAGGCAGCGCATCCGCCTGACTTTATAAACCGGCCGAGTCGAGTGGTGGTCGCGACTGCTCGCCGCATATAACCGGGGAACGATTGGAGAACGCTGCTTAAAGGCGCCCGACGATTGGCGCGCGAATCTAGCGGTACCACGGCTCCATCCTGGGGGATCGACTGCCTCCGCGGAGTCGTGGTGCTTCCATGCGTCTCTCTCTCTCTCTGTCTTTTTTTCTCTCTCTCTCTCACTCTCTCTCTCTTTCTTTCTCCTTCCATCTCTCTTTCCCTCTCCTTCTCTCGCGCGCTTCCTACGACCGGCTAGTTACTCGACGTAATTAGGGAACAGTGACATTTTACCGTTTTTCCCTTCTCTCTCTCTCTCTTTCTCTCTCGCTCACGTCGCGAAATTATCGGCTCGCGTTATCGGTCGCGATAAATGTGTACGAGTGCTGTACAGTAAGAGAAACAATATTTAAGAAATGTCTAAGAAAAAAATCTAAGAAAAAGAAAGGTATTGATAACACATATTCTTGTACCATTGTAAAATATTTTTCAAAAGAGAAAGTACAAATTTTCTTAAAATCTTAGGAAAACCGTAGCTTCTCATGAAAGCTTTAAGAAAATGTACTTATTTGAAAAATATTTTGCATTCAAGGGAGAAAGTATAAATAAATATGTTATTAATATACCCATCGCGCGAAATGCTTACAATTTCTTAGATATTTTTCCTCCCAATGTATATTGCTCATAAAACATTACGATCGGAATCCTTTCCCTAGAAAATACAACAGAAATCTGGGAAATAACAGAATTGTTCCGAACAATTCCGTAACAGGTGTCCAGAGATCGGATGGTGCGTCGATGGGAAGTGTAACGAGGAGAAATCGACTTTGAATCGTAACGCACATTCGGAAATAATGTTTGTGACCTTCTCGCGCACGACTGTGAAAAACAATTATACCTAGAAACCGAGGTAACAATAAGGATAAGAAAAGTACTCCCTCGGATATCACTCGGAGGATTCTCGAGGGTACGTGCGTGCGCGCGCGTTTTCCTTTTTTTCATTCGTCTCTAATTAGACAGCCGGGATGGAAGATCTCGCGGTCGTAAAATTCTTCGGATCGCTGGCGGACACGCGACGCGAGAGCCGATTTTTGGAGGACGCGACGTATGCCGATCGGCCGGTCGGCCAGCATTTAGCGCGTACACAATTATGTTAATAACATTCATCGTTGCCTAACGAGCGATGTTTAACGCGAGGAGCGGTCATCATTACTGCTGTGCATTACTGCCGTGCGCGAGGACGAAGGCGCGCACGAAGATCGGCCGGGCGGTGTGCGCATACATACGGAACGGTCCGCGCGCGCGTATGTCGTGCGCTAAAATAGACCAAACGCTAAATAAACGCAAAACGTGTCGAACGCGGCGGTACCGCGCGCGAACGTGCAATTTCCCGGCGGCTTCACGATCGCCGGCGCGTCCGATCATTTTTGCGAGACGTCGCGCGCGCACCGCGAGAGAAAGAGAGAGAGAGAGATCAGAAGAGACCTCGCAGCGCAACAACTTCGACGGCCGCGTCTATGCAGCACCGTAAACGTAATGGCGGTCGCGACGTAACAGCCGTCGGTCCGTGAAACTGTTATCCACGAACTTGAGCGGCGCGAGGGAGTCGATAGGATCTGCGCCGGCGATGGAATGCCGACCAAAATCACTATCCTCTCTCCTGCGAGAAAGAAAGAGAGAGAGACTCGCGGGAAAGAAAGAGATCCTCGTGATTTTCGCCAAGTCTGCCAGAACGGACCTTGTCAAACCACAGGCTACGAGACACCGTACCGGCGAGCAGATGCGGACAAGAGTCTTGAAAAATGTCACCCACGTGCTTATCGCGAGATTCCGTCGCCGAACCGTTCCTTCCGCGAAACGTGCGAACGTGCGAAACTGCGGTCTGCATCGTTCAACGCGCGTGTGTGGGCCAGAAACTGTCCCTCGTAGAAATTTCCCAAGATTTTCTCAGATAGAATATAGATCCCGATTGCATTGCCCAAATTTGTCCTTAAATTAGATCCTATTACGATTTCAATTGGGAATCCTTCAAATTGTCTCAAACATAGTTAAGAATCGCAACAAAAATACTATGGAAATTCACACATTTTTTTATCCGTGTGTGAATTTATATGGTTCCCCAAAAGTTTCCAAATATAACATAGATTCTGCTTAGATTATCCAAACTTGTTCTAATCACTTGATCGTGTATCGTGCCGCAATATCAATAGAGAAATTTTTACCCCAGCTATAGACAATTTTCTTGGGTCTAATTGGTATTTATGCCGGCCTCCCAAGTAATTAAAGTTGCAATTCTAAATGAGAGATTCAAAGAAAGAGTGAAAGGAAGAAAAGAAGCACAAAGAATTACAGAGTAAAATAATTAATACTTTCATAATCATGATTTATAGAAATATAAGGCCTGATCTTTTTAAAATATAGACTATTACATGATCGTTTTTATAACTTAGCAACTGTTAATTGTAAATAATTACAATATACTTGAATTTAATGTTAATGAATTTAAGTTTAATATAATATTACAATATCTGAAGTAACAATATTATATATATATATATATATATATATATATATATATATATATATATATATAT